TGGACGCTGGAAAGCTAGATCGATATCCGTAGTTTCTTAGTTGCTCGAAATGCTACTGTACGCTGACGTGCGCTAGTTCGATACCTATACTTCCCACTCACTGGCGCTGGCGTACGCTAACGCAAAGTATGAATGCAGTCTCACCTTGAGACACCGTTTCATTTGCAGTTATAACGTTGTTCAACCGATCCGTAAGGCGGAGCGAAAAAGAAGCTGTAGACCGGTACCCACAGGCGCTTTCATTTGAAATTTGTCAACTCATGAGAAATCTTTTGACCGAGCTTGAATACTTCTCTGAGCGAAAGAGGATTCTTAGCATTCGAGCTTTTAGATCAGCCAAGAGTAGTGTTTAGACAGCGGGTTGATTGCTATAAATTGGTATCGGTTAGCAACGGCAGGTGGACTCAATTCAACGCGGACGACCTTCCTGGGCGCGGTTGGTATCTGAGGTAATGACCAGTTTAGCAAAGGAGATCAGACCTATGCGACACCACACTACTGGACAAAGCATGAGGATCTAACTCACGGCAAGCACTGCATGAGGCCTTGGCTACACAGTAATCCAGCTAGATCGGTAAAGCAAGCATGCACAGTTTTTAGTTGTCATTTCTGACACGAAAACAAGACAGCTGCATGTCGAGGAACAGAGTGCATTGACTCAATGGATGCGTTTTACACACATCGGAAGACTGGAGTTCGAAAAAGTTTGCTATAGAAAAGGCGGCCAGAGATAATGTCACAATCTCCCTGGTAACACCGCCCAATAAATTTTGCTAACACTTCCGCTCTGAGAACCGAACATCGTAATCTCTGACCATAGGATTTAGAGCAAAAGGAACCATGCAGTCACACATACAGCGCACAAGAAATTAAATATAACAACTACAGATCTACTGATTTTTTTTTTTATCTTGTTTTTTACAGGTGGTGTGACCAAAAAATTCGATTCGTAAGCTCGATATGGGCGCTTGAGCGACCCAAGCGCCATGGTAGCGGCCGAGAGAATACTCTGAAAACTCGGTAAGTGAATGGAACTGTAAGCGGTTGTGTACACAATGTGAATTTCGCGAGTTCACTATAATACATATGCAATTTAAGCTAAACCTGTTTACAAAGCAGTACCGACCGTGCGGTTATCTCCTTCACTCTCTCCAAGGGGGATTAAAACGTGGAGGATTGAACGTACTCGTCCCTGAGACAGTCTATTCAACTTCGCGGATCAGATCGTCAACGCGAGCTGAACGGCCACCCAACTTGAGCGATCCGATCAGCGAACTATTGAATCCGGTCTAAAAGTAGCTGAACATTAATTAACTGGCGTGTAGTTCTTCACGAGGAACTTCGATTTCATCAAACTAAGATCGCGATGAAACCCTAGTTCAGCAGGGATGGCCAAGTGATTGCTCAAAACAGTCAGTTGCAAAATTCCGTTTCGGAGTTTTCAATACGTTTAATGCAGAAGGTACGACAAAAATATGTTGAGCATCCTCGCCTCGAGCAAACAAGCGCGCCTCCTCGTACAAGGATCATAACCCTCACGTGCAGTTTATGATACCCTTCGCCATATCCGTTCCCCCCGCCCCCGAGAGCCAAAAGGCTAGTTTTGCTGTCATGAGTCCGGTTTTACATCCACAGGATTTTTATACCCACCTTACCGTCAAGGAGGGAGGATGTGGTTTTACTGGCATAGACGAGCAGGTCCGGAAATTCGAACATCGAGGTTGTCATGGTGTCCTAAGATTTGTTTAGGCAAAGTCTGCAGATTCTCTATATCATGCATCTTATTTCTTTACCAAGGCACACAAGAAACCGTACACACAGGAAGGAACTGAACAGGCGATCACTTACTGTCTCCTTAGTTTCTTGTCCACTCAAAACAGATGGAAGTGTCCGGTCATCGCCGGGACTTCCCTTTCTTCGATCCACTTATCGCAAAGTAACTGTATGGTAAGGCTAGAACTTTCCAAACACAACAGCGCACCAATATGTATGGACTTCACGTATGCGTGAGTTTCAAGACCATTCGTCAAATTAAGTGTCCAGGTGCAACTTGCGGTCGTACAACAGATTTGACGGCCCTTTTGAAAGTTGTTCGTTCGAAAAGTTGTGGTCTGTCAAATCATTGTCTTCCGTATTCTAGTCTCGTCGTTCGAATCACACTACATATAGGTTCAATTTTCCTACCTACGTTTTCTCTAGATAGGGCACCACGGAAGTTATATAGCATTTTAACACCGGCATATTGAATGTGGGTTGGGGACAACTCCATAACGCGTTCCTGGCTTCTTTGTGTCCCTGCCCGCCGAAGTCTTTATGGGAAACGGTCGTGTACAGACTGTATGCTTTGCATAAGTAGCCCACGGCGACTCGTTGACCGTGGGCTACTCTGCGTTCTAAACCTGAGCCTTTGCTGGAGGAAGGTAACAGAGACGCTATGGAGTCCCCAAAGAGGTCCACGCTCCGAGAGCTAACGACCAGACACGCGAGAGATGGTCTCGCAGTGAAACACAGTTTTGCTAAGCTTCAGAAAGGGATACGGAGGCACTTGGGAGTGGTCTACCCCAACTACATTAAGGCCCTCCTTTTTAAAGCCCCTCTTCCGAGACGTTTCTGGCGAGCTCCTACCGGAGAAACTTTTCCTCTTTGCTTCCGCTCTCCCTCTTCCTTTGTTGCGTTATGATGGTTAGAATTTAACAAGGCTCGTTTTGCAACTTTCTATAACGCGAACATCTTTCGGAATAACTTATTCGAGGAATTACATGAAGGTGAATAACGTGAAGGCTAAGGTTATGATTACAGAAAGGATGACTGCTTTGATAGCGATGGTGAACATAGTTTTATCTGTGTTAGGCTACGTCGCCTGTAGGAGCCTTATAAACGAGTACATTCCCATATTCATAAGCCGGAAGATGTACGGCAACGATCAGTGCAAGGTAATCTTACATCATTATTATTATTACATTATTTTATTATTTGAACATAGGATGAAAGAATGAAGTCTTCGCCGTTAATCAATCCTTTGTGGGATGCGGCACGCATTCTACTTCCATTCAGAATCGTAGTGGCTTATTGAATGCGATGTGGCCTATACAATGACTTGCGGGGCCAGCCGATGTACATTCACTGTTCTTATCCTCTCAGACATTTGGTGCCAGTTCACCGTCTTCGAGGGTTGGAGCCTTGGTCGGGAGGCGTTCCGGTATTTGATCAGAGGTGGAGGTGGTATAGTGGCAAATGGCACACCGAGGCGCACGGTCCAAGGATCGGTTCTCGCCCTGGACAACCGAGGAGGATATTGCCCTCTACCAAGATAACTGCTCGCACTTTCTTCTACTAGATAAGAATGCCACGCGGGATAGACCACTTGAGAAGACAACCTCAAACTTGGGTAATTAAACTTTATCTAATATACTAAAGTAAATAACTTAAAAATATATACATCTATTGTAAACATTACAAGCGATATGAGAATTGAATTAAGAGGCTATGATTAAAGAGGCTTACCAGATGAAGAAGGAAATGAACTGAAAGCACAGCGGGAAGAAAGGAAGGGCCGTCGAGTCGGAGGAAGTCTCTTGAAGACGTGAAGAGCCGCCTGACATCTCAGCTGGGCCATCTGGTGCTTATATACCATCTCCTTTTGTCCGCCCGACTTCCAACGCCTTCTTGCTAACTTTGCCTCAATCGCTCATCGATTAGCTATAAATGTAGTTACAATGACTCATACATAATTCAGAATAAGAACAAACAAATGAATTCAATCCGTTTATAAGGTAACCTCTCTCATCTGAAGACGGCATTGTCGTCACCGAGCCTTCTACCCTCTGGGACGAAGAATCTCTTCCAGATTCGTCTGGAAGGATAAGAAACTGAATCAAACGTTAGCTGGTCCCCGCAAGTCATTGTATAGGCCACATAGAATATAGCTAGCTACGATTCCTGAATGAAACTTAACGAGAGTGGCCGCATCCCACAAACGCGCGCACGCTCCAGCAACCAGATTTATCTCTGGCTTTACAAGCATAGAGAATATTTGTTTTCGAGCTCCCGAGCAAAAGTTCAATGGTTTCATTACATATTTAAATATAGTAGACTGCATGATTGTGTGGAACGTTGTGCTGCATAATAGTTATAGAATAGAAGAACTGCTTATCAGTTCTATCAGAGCGGTACTAATCAACTATACGCTCCGAAAAAATAATAAAAATATTTTATTATTTTTTTGCCCCTACGAACTGTGACCTACAAAAAAGGTTTTTTTTTCTTTTTTTTTCTTCTTGTTTGAGATAAGCACCAAAAAGAGAGAACATAAGCTCTTTCAATTGTCTCACCAATAAATATAACAATTAATAGAGGAGATAAGATAATATATGAATAATATAGAGATATATCATTTTGGCGCCGAAGGAATATATATAAATAGAAAATATATATTTAGCGCTGTACCAAGGTAGAATCATATACCTCATAGCCTCAAAGCTTAGCAGAGCGTCAAATGGCAATGGCGCAGTGGAATGGAGTGTGAAAATAAATGGCAATGGCGCAGAGGAATGAGTGTGAGATTCCTGATCGGGAGCTCAGATGATTTTCAGACGCATGGTTGAAACGAACATGGAGGAAAAGCGGTGGCCAGGCTCGCGCTGGCACCATTCTGACGGTAAATTATACCCCAAGTCAAAAAAATGGGTGCTGTATCGGTAATCAGGATGCCGAATTGCAACAGTCTGCAAGTTTTCATCGATTTTTCATTAGAGCTGGTCGCGCTAGCGCCAGTGCCAAAAACCAGTGCCATATTCGTGATTATTGCACTGGTTAACACCTATGAACAAAATTTCAGCGGGGAAATTTGCTCAGAGATCTTGAGTTAGTAAAAGTTGAAGGTGTCAATATTTGACACGAATACGGTAGCTACGCAATTAACACGCCTTTGGAATCTGTAGCGGATTTCTAAGCACTACGCTTGATTGTTTCAGAAATCCGACGACCCTGTGCCGGAACCAATGGGGGTTATCTGCGCTGCTGCATACCTTATCGTCATGTTTGTCTTCATCCCATTCCCATTCATTGAGTGGATTGGAGCAGAGTGAGTTTCACTGCTTACCTCTTTGTGAAATATTGCCTGATTTTGCATTAGCAACCTGACGGAAGGAACCACCTGTAAATGGTAGTAGTTTTCGAATTCATGTCTATTTTTCCCCTTCTAACTGGCGAACCTCTTCGATTCCGCTGTCCTTCCTGCTTTGACTTACGCCTCGGAGACTTGGACTCTACGAAAGCAGGATGAGCATGCGGTTGGCGTTATTCAACGCGCCATCGAAAGGGCGATGCTCGGAGTTTCCCGCTACACGCAAGTGAGAGAGGGAATCCGGAGCTCCGCACTCCGCCGACGATCGAAGATCAGAGACGCCGCCGCATTTGCCAAGGTTTCGAAGATCAGGTGGGCCGGGCACGTCATGCGTTTCGAGGACGACCGCTGGACCAGAGCGATCACCGACTGGATTTCCACGGGATGTCAAGCGAACACCTGGACGATCGTACGCGATGGTCAGATTTCTTCGTGAAAGCTCTGAACGAATGGTATGAAGTTCATCGTGTCCCTCGAGCAGAGAGAGTCATTGGGCAACTCTTGCACGTTGCAGGGACGAATGGAGATGTTCGCCCGCTCGAGGAACTCGATGATCAACGGGAGCACATGTGATACAGGTGAACTGGAGAATAAAGTTAGCCCCATAGTTGTTACAAGTGAAATTCTGAAGTCATAAAGCCCCAAACATTAATCCAACCCGTATTGGGACGCAACACATGCTTGTTCTGAGATCAAACGGGTGTGAAAGTTGGAGTATTTATCCCCACAAAATTTGGCACCCTTCAAACATTCAACAGGCCCTCCAACTGTGGAAGGATTAGTCGACTCGGCAGGGAGCCAACCGGATACTGGATTTCAAAACCGTGTGCGTGGCAAGCGGTGCCCATTCCCTTCGAATTACCTCCGCTTTGTTGACAGTAGCAGTACAAAATGACCAATATTTCATAAACCGTACAAAACGATGGCGTGGGACTCACAAATTACCACATTTGAGGCTAAGCATTTTTCTGAACATTTTGAAAACCTGATGTTTCCAGAAGGGTTTCCACTGTCTCGCGCACTACAGTCAGTATTGTTATAAATGCGAATCTGTAATTTGAAACGTTTCGCTGATGAAATAATTTTTATAATGAAACGCTTTCATTCAGGAATGCCTTCCCTCATACGAAATTCCTTGCATTTCTGTCTGCATTGATTTCTATATGTACCGCCATTCTGTTGGGATTCGCTGATGATGTACTAGACCTGAAATGGCGCCACAAATTGGCTTTTCCTACCCTTTCGTCCTTGCCTATTCTCATGGTCTACTATGTGTCAGGTGAAGCTTATTATTACTTCTAGCACCTTCCAGTCAGTTCGTTTCAGTTTTTGTTTTGTTTATGCATGCATGAGGTTAGCAAAAGTGTAGGCTTGAATCAGAATTAGAGAATCATCCATTTAGTCCCTCGTGACTTTGGTTGGTTGGTCTTATAGTTCGGGTGTCCCGAGTTCATTTGATGTTCAGACGTCTTCTTAGGGGGAGGTCGTCCTAGCTGCAAACATGGAGAGGTGTTCAAAAATACGCGAAAAGTGCCTTTTGTTTGCGAAGGGACCCACGGCAAAGCCAACCTTTCATTGCAGAAGGGTTCCTCTTAGTGAGGTTGTCCCGCTGGTAGCATTTAATAGTTGAGTGGTGAGAGTGAGGTGATAAGGAAATAAGAGCCGGTCTCAACAGGTGACCACGCCCTTTCTTCTCTTCATGCACGTAGGAGCGCGGTTCAGCATCGGGATGTGTACGGTGCATTTCGGACGGGTTTTAGTGCCTTTCTTCAATTTTGTGATACTAACGATCTCGTCATAGTATCTGAGCACGGATCTGAGCACGGACGCACGGATTACACTTTCGAATGCAGGGCGTACTTTTGAAATGAGTCTTTAATTTTAGTTAGAATATTCCGAAAATAGGCGTGCGAAGAATAATTCGGACCGCTTGACATTGCTTGTACGCACGAATTGTTATATTGACAGAGCTGGTTCTAATATAGGAATCTCTCTACCTCCCTCCCCCACCTCGTCACTATAGCATTGAGCACTCATAGGCCAAAGGGGCAGTAAAGTGGTCGAAACCAATAATTTTCCCAGGGATGCGCCACGCTTTCGCTATTACCCCAAGAATGCAGGCTATTTCTTTCGGTCTCTACCATGGCTTAGAATGGGCAGTCTTTGAAAAACCACTGTGAAAGACACCATTTTCTTCCTTGTTGCATGACCTCATCATTTTATACCGTTGACCATCCGTTTCGCTCCCTCTCTGCCTCGTGTTATAAGCCTTACTGCAATAGCCTTACTACCATCATCCGGCATACCACGATAAAGAGTTGATCCGAACACGTCTTTAATTTATTGCAAGGTCTCATAGCTGTAGTTGTCTAGTGATTTTTCGATCAAGTTGAACATTGCATTTGTTCAGGAAGTTCGACTACGGTGATAATACCTTCCGTTGTGCGTACACTGCTATCTTCCATTGTTCCTACGTCCATTTTCCCAACTATTCCTGCCTGTATTGACATAAATATCTTCTACTATGTGTTTATGTGCATGGTAGTGGTCTTCTGTACCAATGCCATCAACATTCTTGCTGGTAGGTTATTTCATGAACGTTGAAACTTTGGCTCATCAGGGGAGCTGCAGACACGGGTGAATGGTTTGGGTCTTATGGCGGGGGCATCTGAATACGTGGCGGCATCCATTACGCCATCAGAGCTTTTTTAACCTCTCAGCTTGACTGCTTTTTATGCTGTGGCCCTGCAGCACTCATCATGATAAACGTGCTTCATATCCCTCTCAGTTTTGTAGCGGTAAACTACCGGGCATCGCTTTTTCCGTAGCGCTTTGGATAGCCCTCACATCCTGCTACTGGATAGGGCAAGAATGACCGCGGAATCAAAGTGCGGTATTCCGCTACCCATGCATCTTTTCATATCGTCAAGGAAATCGGAAAGTCGTTCACCGCCTGTCTTTCCGCAAGGTTTCACGGCTTAATTTCAGGGATAAATGGACTTGAAAGTGGACAGGCAATCGTAATAGCCGTTAGTGTGGTGGCCTTCAACCTGGTGCAGGCACGTATTTGTCATGTTCCATGTTCGTGCTGCAATTCTAGTAAACAAGAAAGTATTTTCCAGATAAGCCGCTTGGATGAATGCTGGGACCATATGTTGTCGTTATATTTCCTTATACCTTTTCTCGCTTGTACACTGGCCCTTTTCCAGTTCAACAATGTAAGTACTTTGCTAATACATTTTCCCTTTGCATATTTCTTTCTTTTTCTTCCGTTGGAATTGCATTTATGAATAGATCGCGAAAGACCGTGAACGTCATGGAGCGGTTTTTTGATTATCCTGTAAGTTTTTGATTCCATTTTAAAGTACCACATCATTCAGTATCCTGCACGTGTATTTGTTGGTGATACCTTCTGCTACTGGGCAGGAATGACACTTGCTGTTGTATCTATCCTAGGTCATTTCAGCAAAACGATGATCCTATTCCTAATTCCGCAGGTGACTTGAAAACGTTCTTCGCACCTGTTTCCTTGCGCTACAAAATTGTTTGTGTTTGAATCGCTGAGAACTGTGAATTTCACAGGTATTCAACTTTCTATACTCCATTCCACAATTATTCAAACTGGTACCGTGTCCAAGACATCGCCTGCCGAAATACGATGGGGCAACGGATACGGTAAGTTTAAGTCGGGCAGATATTGATTGAATTTATAGAAAACTTTAATGCTGCGCTTTTTTCATCTGCCAACAATGTCTATCCCCAGCGATCACTTGGGCCAAAAGTTTCATAGCGCAATGGGCATGATTGCTGGAAGTGGGCAGCATCATTGGTGGAAGGGCTGCGAGAGGGCGTTTGGCCACACCCCACTTAGCCCACCCACTAATGACGCCGGTCAATCGCTCACTTCTAGCCATCATGCCCACTGCCTTTAACATTCAATTTTCATTTGAATAAAAAGTCCGTGCTTTGACAAAATGGATGCGGGAAATTTTTTACATCCTTGTTCTGTGAAAACCTCCAAAAATTTGAGTGATCTGTGCGGGAACTCTTAGAACCCACCTAATTTATAAGACCTTTCTCCTGCAAAAAGATGCCTCTCTAGTCTGAGTCGGTCTCTAGAAGAAATTCAGTTTCAAAATCGAAAAGAAGCTGAAAACGTTTCATCAATTTTGAAACTGATAATATCTATCTTAATGGTGTACGAAATATTTTCTCACGTTGGTTACTTGTGAACTGTCACCTACACTCTAGTTCGCTGCGGTTGGGCGTGTCAGGCAGTATGAGTGTGTCACCCCGTCAAAGCCGTTCTCTGCCTTCTTGTTGAAGCGCGCATGCGACAAAAAGTGGTAGAAAACGAGTAATACGAATCATATCATTTGCTCGCTTTAACAACTGGTGGAGAACGGGTTTGGCACCGCGCCAAACTCATCCCGCCTGACACGCCCAACCGTCCGCAGCGAACTACACTGTAGTGTGTATGATATACAGTCCTCATCATTGCGGACCGGTGGGGCGTGTCAGCCAGTATGAGTGTGCACACTGTTGAAGCCGTTCTCAGCCTTTTTGTGAAACGCGTATGCGACAAAAAGTGGTAGAAAACGAGTAATACGAAGGATATAATACAGTAATGTCACTTGCCCGCTTCAACAACTGGTGCAGAACGACTTTGGCACCGCGCCAAACGCAGCCGCACTGACACGCCCCACCGGTCCGCAATGATGAGGACTGTACGTTCACTTCATAAAATTCCCTATTTACTTTTATTAATTTTTATTGGTTAGTTTCAACTTGGATTAGAAGTTGGAGACTTGTTTTCATCAACTTTCCCGCCAACGTAAAAGACTGAACTGCACCATTTTTTGGAAACAACCATTTCTTTTTACAAGTACGCTAGTCTTTTTTCACCTTCACTCGTATAGTTTCAATGTGCTTGATAACTGGGAAGATTTCGAGTTCTATTTCAAGTCGAAATCGTTCAGGTTGATATGAAGCGTTGCTCAATTCAAAGAAAAAGACTTGAAGTTGCTGGGTAGGGTCACACTCAAAGTATTCTCTTCTTGTGGAATACTATACAGCAAGGAATTCGAGAGAGATAGTGAACGGTATGTTGTCTTCATTGATATCTTTACTGCTGAGAATAAGGCTCCTGAGTGGGATAGCCGTACTTTGTTACGTTTTTCTTGGAAACAAACAGTATACTCACCATCAGGGACTCTGATCCTGTCATTTGCGAGGTGATCGGATCCACGGCTGCAGTAGCGTGCCACCTTTTCCCTTCGAAGTGCACGGGAACGGGCCTGAAAGGTAGTGATATCTGAGTGCTTTTCGAACTCCGACCACGTTACAGCGCGGTTGGCCACACGCCTAACAGCCAAACGCGGTAATTATCTATGCCCTCTGACTTGTGGTTGGACTTTACGGGTGACAGCGTCTTCGCTACAGGATTCCGGTATAGGCTCAAGTTCTGCACCTGGACGATAACGCTAGCAAAGTTGGGTCACGGCACTCGGATATCACTGCCCTCCAGCCACGTTTTCGTCTTTCCAGAAATTTTCACGTCACGGCAGCTGCGGATCCATTCGCTTCGCGATTGGCAAGGACCAGGATCCGAGATGTACAGTATGCTTTGAAGTCAAAATTTGAAACAGATTCCCAAATTTTCAAGTGCCTTCAATCATGTAGACTTAAACAAGTAAGTGCAAAAGTAAGATGCATATAAGCTTTTATATTGTGAGAGATCTGTGGGGATGATCGCGAAATTTTTTTGCGACGTTGTAAACATGAACTCCCCAGACTATCATGCTTTTTCTGTACTTCCTGATAAACAAGGAATGCATTGCAGATGGCAAGAAATCAACAATCTAACCATTTTGAATCTGGTGCTGAAGTTCACTGGTCCACTCCACGAGCAGACTCTTACTAACGTTCTTCTTTCAATTCAAGTGATTTGTTCCGTTTTCGCATTTTTCGTTAGATTTTATCTTGCATCGTTTCTTTATGATGTCGTATATTGAAGACTTTATGCGGTAATGGAGGTAATAATCAACGGGAGATTTGTTATTGCAGCGATTTTTAATCGCTTTTGTATGCTCACGTAAAAACCACTTCTCTTTACACTTGCCAAGACTGTGATTTTTATTTTGTATATAATAACGAATTTAGCTTTACGTGCTTCAAATCGAATTTGTTCAAATCGATGTTTTGTTTATTTAATGGTATTACTTTCTCAAATTATCTCTTTGACAATTTCGCTACAGCGAAGTCATATGGCTGAGGGAGTGGAAAAACTGGCCTAATTCTTTTCAATTGTCCACTACATATAACGTAAAGGATTTGGCTCACGTTTGATGTGTTGGTAGAATTTCTTCTACCTTACGACTGATGGAAGGCTTTGGTGAGTGCTAAAACTGTATGTTGCCTTACAAATATCCTAGTATTTCACTACTCATTGTAACTGCGATGAACCCTCTGGTAGATTGCCTGGAAATGCGCGTTAACTCATTCAGCACTATGATTTGAGAGGCACCCTCTACATTGTGGGGCATGCATGTGAGGCATGTGACAAGACAATCACGATTCGCCGCGCTAGTGAGCGCATGCGCGCGACGTGTCCGCAAAGGCGATGCTTCTAGGTCTTGAATGGCGACAACAGGCAATGCATAGCCAAAAATCGCCATAAATGTTCACGATTCCGTAGTTTGCACGGAATTTGTTGCTCCATCGACAAGTTCATACATATTGAGGGAACACCGCGCCGTGCGCGACAAAGCGGCAAGTTACGATTGTCTTGACCCATGCATAAGCGCGAAAGAATGTATCCATTATCAAGTCACTTCTTGTAATCGATAATGTTCAGAGCAAGACAAAAATCTTCCAATTTTTTGGAAAATTAGTGGTAACGCGGGGCTGTAAGCTTTATAGCTTTTTGAGGCTGTGGCTCGTAATATGTACTTGAACTGATTATCTTATTTAAGTGTTATGAATGCAGGACCCTCTTTCACAGTACTGTATCGTTTTCGAATACATGTTTGATCACTGGCTTCAGTCAGTATATTGTGACCAGCTTGCTGCCTATCATATACGGTGATTTGTATTCTAGTCTCTCCTTTGTTGTTATCATTGATCAAATTGTTGAATATTGAATTTAATAAGTTTATGGTTCCGTTACTTTTTGGGAAATAAAGGTTTCATTTTAAACGGTCTATTTCGTCTGATACTAGGTTTGACCGCTCATGATCTTAGGTCAAAAACTGCGAAAACTAGTGATACGCAGAGTGAATTAAACAGAACAAACAATAAAACGGTTTGCTGTTTCCTCAAAAAAAATACCGCCGAATTCTTATCTCCGCACTGTTTGATCACTTGGTCTTCCATTATCAAGTTTTGATCTCAGTTTTTCGGCTATGGGTTTATTACATGTTTGCTATAATAATCTAATAGATGTAGGAGTGGCGGTCATGATGGGCTTTCTGAAAATCCACGACTACGCGCGCATCCTTCAGTTTTTTGGAAGTTTTTGGACATTTACTACATTCGCCGGAAACCGCATGAGAAGCTCGAAAAAGGCTTTCTTAACTTCACCACTCGGTGGCTCAACAACAGTGGGTAAGCAAACAACGACGGTAAAAAAGTTATAGAAATTCTAAATCTGGACAAATTCCTAAGAAGTGGGCGGGGTCCTGTATGTCGGCGTGTCGAGCTTTTCAGTTGAAGTATATGTCCGAAGTAGCAGAAGTACAAAAAAGTCCTTTAAGCATAAGCAGTTATAACAGAACATTTGAAAAATTATGACCGCACTAAAGGTGGGCTGGCTGTTGGGGCGTAGCTAGAGCTAATGCCGTTTGGACTCCAAAAATTTCGGCTGCGAGCTCATTTTAAAAGTAATCAGCCAAAAACTTGTATGTAGGGGTAATTCAACCCTGATCACGAATATGACATTCATTTTTGGCGCTGGCGCTAATGGATGACACTACGGTTACCTGCGCTCTGCTAAGGCTGAGCCCAGGAGGTAATCGTAGTGTCCTCTCTTGGCGCCAGCGCCAAGAATGAGTGTCATACTCGTAATCAGGATGTTGAATTACCCCTATATACAAGTTTTTAGTGGATTTGGTGACTTAGGCAATTTGAAAATGAGCTCGCAGCCGAAATTTCTGGAGTCCAAACGGCATTAGCCCGTAGTTAGCGGTAGTTTCCAGTTGATCTAATTAGATGACTGTCACGTGTTAATTGCGTGGTGAATACTGTTTGAAAATGGTGAATTTGATTCGATAGATGGCGGATTAAAAATGAAATGGTACATAAGTGAGGCGTCTCTATGGGATAGTGTACCTTACTCTAAGGAATCGTTACACAAATTTCAAAGGCAGTTGCGTGCTCAGCGTCTCAGGATGCGTACATCGGCGCGTACCTCATTACAGACTGCTGGATGAACCTGTTAAGTTCCTCAAAAGGGCAACGATTCCTCGACAAAAACTTTCGTTTGAAGCTAACAGGAATTCGCGATGAGCCAGCGAGAAATTCGTTGGTATCATATACCGATAAGGGTTAAATCAAAAGTGTATGTGCCAGTTGACTCAGTCGTGAATAAAAATCAAAGGTAAGAGTCGGAAACGCTTGAAATCGGAACTTTCCCTCTGATAAGCGAGAGGCAAAAAATCCGATGTGGTTCTCGGGCGAGAGGCCAGACAAGAGCTGTGAGAGAGCACGCGAGAGTTGGACCACCGACCAGATATCTATCAGCGTGGGCGGAGTCTCTTGTGAAATCTTGTGTCTTACTGCCTTTACCTACAACTTTCTGACGCGAAATTTGTACGGGATTAATCGTTTGCGGTCTCCACTATTACTCCCTTCAAAAAGCATAGATACTTATAGGTGATCGTGGGCGGTGCCTTTAACCAACTTTGTACACAACGGCTTCAATCTCCCCTGTCCCTCTTATGGGAGAGGAAGTACTTTGTACTTTCGCTGGTTTCTTTTGCTTATACGCACTAATTCTATACTTCGAGGCGGGGCTCTCGTAGGGGTAGCTACTCCTACCATCAGAAGCAGGGTCCAGATAGCCGAGGACCATGCTAAGCAGCAAAATCTTTGAATAAAGCTGTAGTAACTATGCGAACAATTTCGGCCTCCGTTTCGAAATATTGAGCCTTTTGCAACCAGACTTTCTGGTGTCCCTTTTATCTTCACATTTATATTTAAGACCATTCTATGGTAAACTCTTTATTCGTAAGTAAGCTGAAGTGCCCAGTCGAAGTCAATAAGGCGTTCGGCGCATTGCTGATCTATAAGCACAAAATTGAAATCTCAGAGTTACTAAAACAACTCTGGGTTTCCCTAATAGATGTGGCTCCGTAACAGTTCCGTTTGCTAACTCTTACCGGCAACCGCACATCTGTTGCCACTGATTTCGCGGGAATACGACCCCCCCTTCCTCGAGCCGTACGACTCCGTTTTGGAATTCCTGAAAGATGCTTGGACCATGATGGGAGGCAGTTGGTCTTTGAATTACATGACCGTCTTTTGGGCAAAGTTGAGTATATGCACTGGACATTTCACGTCGATTGCAATCGTAACCATTGTATCTCAGATCCATTTAATCGACTTACTGGAGCAGGCGCCTTTGGGCTCATACAATATTGTGGGAACGCGCCAAGTCTTGGAAATTCTGCTTAAAGGCACATTCCGCGAAAAATAAGGCTATGACCTCTCAAATGTGTCGGACGATCCGGAAGACGATTTTTGAGGCTGCGCTACTTTCAAAATGTGAAAAACGGCAAGAACTCCGCTAGAAGCTGAGTAATTAGGCCCATGGAACCCCTTAGCCCATGCGATCTCACCGGCTGCTAGCTACTAGCTAGTAGCCACTATGTTATCTTTCTCTATAACATTTCGGACTGCTTTTTCTGCTGCTTTTCTCCGCTAATCAGATACTTAGCACTTTTTTGTGCCTATTTGAGTTCCGTTTCCCGCAATTTGCGGTCGCGAACTGTGCCTTTAAATGCACAACTCAGGTAATAAATGACTCCCCCTCGAGCAGTGGTGGGTATCACTACGATTTCCGTCGCGGAGTTTATAGAGGAAGTCGATTAATACGTTTTGTGTAGTGACAAATTCATGGGACCAACAACTGCATGCAACTCTCTAGAGAACAAGTATTAGGTTGTCCGGAAGAAAAAAAAAAAAAAAAAAAAACATTCTGCGGTTTTGGAGTGTTTACTTTGCGATATAGGCTCTCTATAGACACTCGCGGATTTAATCTATAAGCCTTCGTATCGCACACTTTGCCAATGTGACAGCAGTCGAGAAATCCATCAAGGAAAAAACTGGTGTCGAGAATCACGAATCACGGAGAGTTTTTTGCCTGGTCCTGTTTGATGAAGTATTTCTCAGCAGGAAAGTTCTGAAAATGTCTGAAAAGGTGACAGTCGGTTGGTGAAAGGTCTAGAGAATATGGTGGGTGAGGTAGAACTTCAACTCCCAATTCGTTCAATTTATGGATAGTGATTTGTGAAACGTGCGGGCGGGCGTTGTCAGGCAAAAGAATCGGACCCTTTTTGATAAGTGTTGGCTGCATCTGACAAAATTTTCGGTATAATTTTACGTCGTTCCTTCCAGCTAGGTTGTTGATGTGATTGGTTTAGCCTGGCGATAAAGTTTGTGGGTCCACAGCGAAATGACCACAAGCCGTGACCAGAATCTTTTTTTCGTAAGGGTCGGCTTTAAAAATTACCTCGGTGGTTCGTCGAAATTCAACCACTCTCCGGAACGTCTCCTGTTATAAATATGGACCATTTTGCTTAAGGTGACAATTCGGTTCAAAAACGGGTCGCTTCTGTTGCGTAAAAGCAGTGAAGAGGAAACCGCGAGACGTGCAATTTTTGCCGGTCACTCAAATTGAGGGCACCCACTTATCGAGTTTTTTCACCTTGCCAATGCGTTTCAGACCATCTGCAACACTGGATTTGCCAACGCCTAGGTTTTCTGCAATCTCTCGAACTGTTTGGGATGGGTCAGCCTCCAAAATCCCGTCAGATATTGCTTTAGGTCGACCGCTATGAGGTTCACCTTCAAGGCTGAAATCTCGCAGAACGGAATATGTTGAACTGCGCACAGTGCTTTCTCTGCACTATTGGGCCACACCTGGTTATTTGTTGAGCCACTGTGATTGCGGTAATGCCAAATTTTTATAGTCGAAGAAAATCGGTCGGAGTTTGCTCTTTTGACATGCTTGAAAATCTTGAAAAAAGGGGGTCAGTCAAGCAATGGTGAAACGGCAGTTATACCATCAGATAGCGCAAAGAATTCTCTACAGGATGTACTACTGAGACGCAAGGGAGAGTGTGTTTTTAATCAGCAATGAATGTTCAAAAAATAGTAACACAAAACCTGCAGAACTTTCCATACACCTATTTTACAGTTTGGTAGCGGTTTCAGTTAGTAGGATGGTCAGAAAGTGATTAGGTGTCTTCAGCTGCCTTGTTTTCCAAACGCTGCTTGGTTAGCGACCGACTTATTAAGAGAGCAGTCAATGGTGGAAATGCTGAGGGTGGGATCATTCCATCCCTTGGTCGTCCCGAATCGTTGCCGAAAAAGTTTTGTTGGATATACAGGTGGATCATGTGATTGCCACAATTGTTAAGAATTATTGCAGACAATTATGAAATGCTTTTTTCGATATCATTAAGAGTTTACTAGTCCCGTACTGAACCTAGGAAATGTTCAATCATCAAAGCCTAACCTACCACATCGAAATTTCGGTATGAACAGATGATAAACTGCCGAGTTAGTCCGAAGTGTTTTGACAGTGTCCTGTAAGAGCTGCTCTCGCACTCTTATGCAGCGCCAAAGCGCCGTGCATCGTATAACCGAATAAATCTGTGCCAACACGGTGACCGTGAACATGTAACAAACAAATGACAGCTTCATTTCAGTCACGCTCACGGAGACGCAGAGTTGTTACAACTGCTCTGGGTGAGCTAAGCAACACAGTACAAGCTTCACGAAATTGCAGAAATTTACATGTATAGGCTATAAGGATCCTTACATAGAACAATTGCTCATCAGACTGCTTAGCGCTAATGTTTCTCAAGAACAATTAGTGGGGCAAGGATCTCAGAGGACGAAGAAATGCAGTCATGGGAACCCTTCGATCTGTGTTTCTTCTCGTGATGCTTGTGGACTTGATGATGGCTCTTGTGGTGGTGCTCGTGATGGTGTCCATGGTGCTCCGGCTTCGTTTCGGAAGGCTGAGAGCTGGGAGGTCTCGTGAGCCTTCACATGCTTCATGATGATGCTTGTGGTGCTTCTTATCGTGATGCTTGTGCACTTGGTGATGGCTCTTGTGGTGGTGCTCGTGATGGTGTCCATGGTGCTCTGGCTCGCTTTCGGAAGAGCTGGACGAGCTCGAGGTCTCGTGAGCCTTCACATGCTCATGATGATGCTTGTGCTGCTTCTTATCGTGATGCTTGTGCACTTGGTGATGGCTCTTGTGGTGGTGCTCGTGATGGTGTCCATGGTGCTCTGGCTCGCTTTCGGAAGAGCTGGACGAGCTCGAGGTCATCGTGAGCCTTCACATGTCGATTGATGATGCTTTGTAGTGCTTGTTATCGTGCTATGGCTTGCAGCTTGTGATGGCATTATGTGGTGGATGCATCGACAACAAACAGCTCAGCAATGTTGATTGGTGTCCATAGTGCTCCGGCCTCGCTTTCGAAGGCTGGACGAGCTCGAGGTCCTCATGAGCTTACATGTTGATGATGCTTGTGAGTGCTTCTTATCTGAATGCTTTGCTGACTGGTGATGGCTATTGTAAGGTGGGGTGCTCGTGCATGGTGTCCATGGTGCATCTGGCTCGCTTTCGGAAGAGTGGCGCAGTCGAGGTCTGCAGTGAGCCTTCGACATGCCATTGATGATTGCTTTGACTCTTCGTTATCGTATGCTTGTCACTCTTGGGATGCTCTCTTGGTGGGTGCGTCTGACGGGGTCCCATGGATGCTCTGGGCTCGCTTTCGGAAGAGCTGGACGAGCTCGAGGTCTCATGAGCCTTCACATGCTCATGATGATGCTTGTGGTGCTTCTTATCGTGATGCTTGTGCACTTGGTGATGGCTCTTGTGGTGGTGCTCGTGATGGTGTCCATGGTGCTCTGGCTCGCTTTCGGAAGAGCTGGACGAGCTCGAGGTCTCATGAGCCTTCACATGCTCATGATGATGCTTGTGGTGCTTCTTATCGTGATTGGCATTGTGCACTTGGTGATGGCTCTTGTGGTGGTGCTCGTGATGGTGTCCATGGTGCTCTGGCTCGCTTTCGGAAGAGCTGGACGAGCTCGAGGTCTCATGAGCCTTCACATGCTCATGATGATGCTTGTGGTGCTTCTTATCGTGATGCTTGTGCACTTGGTGATGGCTCTTGTGGTGGTGCTCGTGTGATGTTCATTGGTGCTCTGGCTCGCTTTCGGAAGAGCTGGACGAGCTCGAGGTCTCATGAGCCTTCACATGCTCATGATGATGCTTGTGGTGCTTCTTATCGTGATGCTTGTGCACTTGGTGATGGCTCTTGTGGTGGTGCTCGTGATGGTGTCCATGGTGCTCTGGCTCGCTTTCGGAAGAGCTGGACGAGCTCGAGGTCTCATGAGAAGCATTAACAAATTGCTATGATGATAGTTGTGGGACCTATATCTTATCGTGATGCTGTGACTTGATGCATGGCTCTTGTAGGTAGGATGATCGTGAGGGTTACCATTTGTTGTTATAGAGCTCGCTTATCCGAAGGTCAATGGACGATGCTCAGAAGGTCTCCATGAGAATGACTCAAAGCAACAGATGGATACGGTAATGCAACCTCACACGCCACGACGCGACGTGGGCGGATTGACCTGGGTTGCCGACGATAGAATCGTCCGGGACCCCTCTTGTGGTGGTGCTCGTGATGGTGTCCATGGCTGCTCTGGTCGACTTTCGGAAGAGATGGACGATCGAGGTCTAATGAGCCTTACATGCTCATGATGATGCTTGTGGTGCTTCTTATCGTGATGCTTGTGCACTTGGTGATGGCTCTTGTGGTGGTGCTGATGGTGTCCATGGTGCTCTGGCTCGCTTTCGGAAGAGCTGGACGAGCTGGAGGTCTCGTGAGCCTTCACATGCTCATGATGATGCTTGTGCTGCTTCTTATCGTGATGCTTGTGCACTTGGTGATGGCTCTTGTGGTGGTGCTCGTGATGGTGTCCATGGTGCTCTGGCTCGCTTTCGGAAAGAGCTGACGAGTCGAGGTTCTGATGAGCTTCACAATGCAGCCTCATAGATGATGACATTGTGGTGCTTCTTATCGTGATGCTTGTGCACTTGGTGATGGCTCTTGTGGTGGTGCTCGTGATGGTGTCCATGGTGCTCTGGCTCGCTTTCGGAAGAGCTGGACGAGCTGGAGGTCTCGTGAGCCTTCACATGCTCATGATGATGCTTGTGGTGCTTCTTATCGTGATGCTTGTGCACTTGGTGATGGCTCTTGTGGTGAGTGGCTCGTTAAGATGGTGTCCATTGGTGCTTGGTCCGCTTTTGGAATAAGACTGGAACGAGCTCGAGTCTCATGAGCCCTTCACATACTATTGATGATGCTTGGCGTGCTTTATCGTGATGCTTGTGCACTTGGTGATGGCTCTTGTGGTGGTGCTCGTGATGGTGTCCATGGTGCTCTGGCTCGCTTTCGGAAGAGCTGGACGAGCTGGAGGTCTCGTGAGCCTTCACATGCTCATGATGATGCTTGTGGTGCTTCTTATCGTGATGCTTTGTGTTTTTTACCACTTGGTGTGGCTCTTGTGGTGGGTGCTCGTGATGTGCTCATGGTGCTCATGGCATCGTCTTTCGGATAGAGCTGACGAGTCAGAGGTCTCATGAGCCTTCACATGGCGCATGATGCTTGTGGTGCTTCTTATCGTGATGCTTGTGCACTTGGTGATGGCTCTTGTGGTGGTGCTCGTGATGGTGTCCATGGTGCTCTGGCTCGCTTTCGGAAGAGCTGGACGAGCTCGAGGTCTCGTGAGCCTTCACATGCTCATGATGATGCTTGTGGTGCTTCTTATCGTGATGCTTGTGGACTTGGTGATGGCTCTTGTGGTGGTGCTCGTGATGGTGTCCATGGTGCTCTGGCTCGCTTTCGGAAGAGCTGGACGAGCTGGAGGTCTCGTGAGCCTTCACATGCTCATGATGATGCTTGTGGTGCTTCTTATCGTGATGCTTGTGCACTTGGTGATGGCTCTTGTGGTGGTGCTCGTGATGGTGTCCATGGTGCTCTGGCTCGCTTTCGGAAGAGCTGGACGAGCTGGAGGTCTCGTGAGCCTTCACATGCTCATGATGATGCTTGTGGTGCTTCTTATCGTGATGCTTGTGCACTTGGTGATGGCTCTTGTGGTGGTGCTCGTGATGGTGTCCATGGTGCTCTGGCTCGCTTTCGGAAGAGTGGACGAGATGGAGTTCTCGTTGAGCCTGTCACATAGCTCATGATGATGCTTGTGCTGCTTCTTATCGTGATGCTTGTGCACTTGGTGATGGCTCTTGTGGTGGTGCTCGTGATGGTGTCCATGGTGCTCTGGCTCGCTTTCGGAAGAGCTGGACGAGCTGGAGGTCTCGTGAGCCTTCACATGCTCATGATGATGCTTGTGGTGCTTCTTATCGTGATGCTTGTGCACTTGGTGATGGCTCTTGTGGTGGTGCTCGTGATGGTGTCCATGGTGCTCTGGCTCGCTTTCGGAAGAGCTGGACGAGCTCGAGGTCTCATCAGCCTTCAGTGCTAGTTGAGTCGCGTGTTGCGTGCCGTGACGGCGTTAGCGTGGCTAGGTTCAGCGTTTCTGAAATTCCTCTCATTCAAATTCTTCAATCAAAAAAGAATGGTCTCAGCTGTGTAAACGCCATTTACGGCTCTCCGTAATTTCGACATCGTGCTGACTGGAAGGTTAGCTTGAACTCCACACGAGGCTCTTAATTCACCTTTTTTGGCTTACGTCGTAGGTGGCGATCTGCATGGATCCCTGACTTCAGATGGGTAGTCGAGACGTTTGGCCGGGTATTCGTAAATTGCTTCGCTCCTTTCAGGGTCTTAAGAAGTTCCATCGGACCGTAAGCAGTGAAGCTGAATTAGCAGCCTCATGTGGAGTTGAAGCAAAACACCTCCCGAACTCAGCTGAGTGATCTTATTTCCACAACTGGGCCATGCAAAAGGCAAAATATAATGTTGGACGTACCGCCCCCCTCCACCGACCCCCCATACCGCCTTCGATTTTCGTGTGCGGACTTCTTGCGTCCTCTCTCTGCGGCGGATCCACTAACTTCAGGAATCCTGCAACGACACATAACACTGGTTAACCCAAATGCAATTTTTTTTGTCAGCTTTAGAATACCTGCAAAGTCAAGGTGACCGTCGTGGGCAGTCTTCTTGAGCTCTCTATCAAAACCATTTAGGCGACGATGCACTTCTGGCAGTTCGTTTACTGCTGCTATGGCCTCATCCGTGGTGAGGCTTGATCCGTTGCTTGCATGGCGTTGGAATAGAGTTTCTACATAAGTTTCATTAATGATTGTTCGTTGCAGGGATTTAACTAGACAAGAGCTTAGGTTATTAAGCTCAGCTCCCGCAGTGGCGAACTTTACACATAGCAAAATGCAATAAAGTAGCAGTTACTCAGCCACCTAATGAAAACGTGGGTCGGACACTAAAGGAGT